ACCCCACCGCACCGCACCCCTCCGCCGGCGGGGGCTGCCTCCTCTCCCTCGGCTTTCGGGGCGGTGTGAAGCTGACGCTTTGCTCCCTAAAGTTCCCGTGCCCCGGGTCACTGCGGGCGGGGGAAAATGGCCCCTCCGCGCCCAGGCCTGGTGTGGCGGCGGATGCTAGGCTCGCCTTGGGCAGCCCGCCGAGGCCCAGGGTACCAATGTCACCTCATGCTGAGCGGCGAGACCAGATCAGGCTTTCTTTAAACTCGTTTTGGTGTCAAATAAAAGGCAGAGCTGCTTCATTAGTTGCTCTGGCTAATTATATCTCTCCAAATTCATGCGGTGCTTGTCGCTCAGGCCGTGTTGCCAGTGCTTCTGTTTCCCCCTTGTTCTGAAAGCCCTGCTAAGTTGCACGTGCTCTTTCTGCAATATCATTTCTAAAGGCAGGTAGTATTCTTATTTCTTTGGATAATAATATAGTTGTAAAAAAAAAGAATCAGAAGAAGATGTCGGAAAGGCCCATTTGCTTTTTTATCACTTTTATTTTTTTGATCGTGTAAGTAGTATGTCAGCGACATTTGGATTTCACTTTAATCAGTGGAAGCATAGTGGGTTTTAATAGCTTAAGAGCTTGTTCTGTTCCTGACTGCAACCAATTTTGTTTGTGACTTCGGGCAAGTCGTAATACAGATATTTAAAAAAGGCTTCCAGTTTAGGGGGCATTTGGGGGTCAATTTTCATGAGCTTCCAGGCATTCACAGCCCCTATGAGCTTCAGCAGAAGGAGCGAGAGCTGCAGCTGAGGCTGCAGACATCTGACTCAAAGCCATTCAAGCCTTTAAAGTTGACCTTGACATGCTGGGTCTTCTTCACCGGTACATATGATCGTTCTGAATGACCAGATGATTGAGGAGGTGTTTTGAGACCCTTACATGGGCAGTATAAATGTGTGAGTTGTAATTTTTGTTGTGCATTTATATATTACTGTAATGAATACAAATTTACTTGCTCTGGTGGAAAAGACAGTGTTAAATCAGAAGAAATGGTCTTGTACATGATGGAGGGGAGGATGTCACTTTTGAACTGAGGCAGCTTGAGTCCTGTTACAGCTGTGCCGCAGGAGGACTATCCCAGCGGGTCACTTCATTCGTGTCATGGGGTTTGGGATTCTGCTGAGGCACTTGGAGTCGGGTCCCTGGTTGCCCTGGGGTGGTTCCTCTGAGAGACAGGCCAGCCTGCCTAAAATGAATCAGCAGTGATCTTTATGGACTGAAGAGGAGTCCCAGGCGAACTTGCCTCACTGCTTGGGTGACTCAGCTGCCTGGGGGGGCTGAACTGAAAACAGCCCATGAGTGATGAAAATGCTGAAATAGTATTGCTTTTGGCTTGAGTTGGAGGTGTTCACTGTTCAAGAAAGTCAGGGCAGGAGCATCTCGGCCTGCGTTCCTCATCTGTAATACGAAGCTTACCCATTTCAGCCCTAGCTTGACATACAGGCCGTAATCTTAATATTGGAAATTAATTCAGCTTTCATTAGGGATGTGCCCGTAGAATCAATTACAGTTTCATTAAATTTATTTCCTCTGCAGGCTTTAAAAATGTATCAGAATTAACAAGTGAGGAGAATTAACAAGTGAGGAAAAGTGAATGAAGAAAAAACAAGTTCAGTTATGGAGAAAACATTAGCGGGTGAGGTGCTTATGTCTGTACCTGGCACATTTTATTTCTGCTCTTCAGTGTTCACGAAAACAAGCAAACAAAGATTAGCTTTAAACTCACTAGTTAAATAAAATAGGTGGTCTCAAAACCCCTTGATCTCTACTGAGTATTTCTACCGAGGGAAGCCTCCATATAGCACAGCAAATTCAGCTGTTGCCGTTCCCATCCGAGGAGTGGCTGTGAGCCGCAGCGCTGCGTGGTCCAGGATACTGGATGTAGGTGAGCTGGCAGGATGCACGGGTTGGCTTGGAAGCACCTGCGAGCCCTCATCAGCACGCTTCCTCCCGCTTCAGCAGCTCTGGAACGGCTCCCGTCGGTTTAAAGCAGCAGGCACAGTATTTTGACTAATGAGGTTCACCCGATCTTCTGACTTCTCTGATAGAAAGAACTAGTCAAGGAACGTGTTTGCCTTCCGTGCATTGGCACTGGAGCCTGTGAGCTGGGACTCTCGGTGTCTCTGGGCAGTGTGTCTGTACGGAGAGCTGGTTATTCCTGCCTTCGGAAAGGTATCGGCGCTCAAAACATGATCATTGAACAAGGAGCTGAAAGGTTAATCTTCAGTAAATCCTAATCGCTTACATACATTAAGAACATAGTTATGTTATTAGTTTGTAATGTAACAGGAAAGGCAACCTTTTCAGAGTACTTGCATCAACACTGGGATATGTCTTTCACTATCCCACAAGGTGAAGATGGCTTTTTCACTTGGCTCACCACGTTTTCCTTTGCAGATGTTTGAATATGGTAAAATATTACAGTAGTTACATTTGTCTTCAGAAAGGTCAGAAGAATGGTTGTTGTACTGAGACCGCGGCATCGGCAGATACCAAGACAAAAGGAACACAGAGCACATCGTGTTTAACTAGCCAGACAGGTGCCAGACTACCCCCAGGACAGGAAGTGGTAATAAAATCCCTTCTTCACCTCCCCTTTTTGTTCCCAAATTCCACCTTTCCCTGCTACAGTGCTGAAGTGCTGCGTATTTTGGATAAAGTGTGGTTACTTAAACAAGGTGAGAAAGAAGAGC